TTTTTTTTTTTTTTTTTTTGCTATGCGAGAATTCTCCTGATTATTGTATGAAAAATCATTTTCCAGAATGAAAGCTTCATTCATTTCATGCGTAATTTCATCATCGTAATAATCATTCGGACATTTTAATAAAAAGTATAGAATCGGCCGAGAGAAGTGAAACTTTACACGAACACGGCTTTTCAGCTTAATGCAATTGCGAATGATTTAAAAGGCGCGTAAAAAAAAAAAAAAAAAAAAAAGAAAAAAGAAAGAAAAAAGAAAGAAAAAAAATAAGTGGAAAAATCTATCAGCAGTTTTATAAATATGAATGAGCAATTTTAATCATCTTTTATTTCTTTTTTTTCAGTGCTGTTGCCAAACCGTTATTTAAAATATGCAATCCCACTGCTGTGGCTCCTACTCACTGGCCAATATTCCGTCGAATAAAAGATTACGATTTGGCAAGATATTTAAGAAACAAAGAAAAAAAAAAAATTAATTAATTAAAAAAATATATATATATATGAAAATAAAAATAAATAAATAAATAATAAAGCCAGGGAATAGATTGTAGCTGTCAATAGGGGCGAAACTAAAATCACAGGGAATTTTTTTGACTAGATTCGACAAGGAAAGCACGGCTGCGGTGAGCATCTACCTATTCCAAACAATTCCATTTCTTCAACGAATAAATGTTAAATAACCTTTGCTCAGCGAGACAAAAACGATCATCCAGACGACTGCGAGATTGAAGGCCACCTGGAATTTAAGTGTCACGATACCCGGATCGGGCTCGTTGAGATGATGCCTCTGCAGCACCGTGCCGCTAAAATAATCCGGTACAGTCTCGTGTAGCTTATAGGAGGTGCTGTTGTTATTGTTGTTGTTGCCGCTGGATCCGCCATTGCCACTGCTCGTTGTCGGTCGTATGTCCTCGCGATAGAGCGCGAATGGTTCGGCCCACCTGTATCTATCCTGCTTCGTTATAAAGGAGTCTCTGCGAATCAAAACGCTATTCTCATTATCTCTCTCTCTCTCTCTCTCTCCGTCTCTCTCTATACACCAGCTTAAAAAAGCTTTATTTTCAAATTATTTCGAATCTTTATATTTATATTATGCAGTATTATTTCCATGCATGAAATTTCAAGTTTACGAGGACAATTGCTTCAACTTTTCAGTATTGTCATTTAAACTTTCATGCCGCATTTATTAAAGGATAAATATTTTGCACGCGTGAGACTAATGATTGCGATCTTGCTCAATGTTAGTAAGGAAAATGTGCCTAAGAGGTATGTACTTTTGTGATAAAATGCATTCATTTTATGCATTTTGCCACATTGTCCACCTCGAGGATTATTTAAACAACATATAATACACTATTTTTCATATCTATTTTATATTAAGATTTAAAGTTTGATGATAAAAACTTGTATAACTTTTTTTTTTGTTCTCTATGTTTACACTTTAAGGTAACAATAGAAGGTGTCAAAGTATCAAAGTCATTGAAATAGACTAAAACGTCCTTTGAAACCTTGAATTTTCAGTTTAAGTGAAAACTTATGGATTACAGTTAAGAGTTTTAATTAGCTTTAGTATGACACGATGATGTATTATTGTGACGAGGTACGCTGGTTCGGAAGGAAACTGGTGAAATTTACTGAAAAGAAAGTAGCGATATACAACCGGTGATGGGCGAATGAGATTGAGAAAAAAAAAATAGTTCGATGTTGTTTATAATTAATAGAGTCTGTGCCCTTAAACGTATGTAATAAAGCAAGGCCAAAGAGAGATGGGAAATGTCATTCTTGCCTAAAGTAGACGAACATCCAGGAGACACCGACTACGCTGTAAATTCCAATGAAAGCTTGGGCGGTGAGTAGAGCAATGCCAACTCCCTGAAAGAGCGGAGATATTTTCCACATATCCACGGCTCCAGCTGCAAGTCTCTGGCCAAGACATACTTGTAACGTTAACAAAGGAATGCCTATGATTAAGGAGAGGATGAGGAACTGTACAATAAAATTCGCTGAAACAGAGAGAATAATTTCATCATAAACATTGATGATTATAGTTATTATCTGATATTTATACATAAGGTATGAAAAGCCATATTTATCTTTAATTCAAAATTCATTTATATTACTGTCGAAATGCGTATAAAGATGTATGAAGACATATAAAGACGCCTGCGCGTATTTAGGAAAAATTTATAATCCTTCTAATAGGGTATTTTGAGGTGATTTGTCATTACCGACGGACGGTAACTTATACTTTAAATTACTACCAACGCTACCAACAATTCTAAAATTACAATTTTTCACTCTCGAAGGAGTTGATTGCCGAAATGAAATATCGAAGAATTTATATACATTATAACTCACCTCCAAACTGAATGCTGAGTATGGCGAATCTACTAATATTAAAAAGTCCAAGAGTGCATCCGAGGCATGCAAGCGCCGGACTAAGTGCGTGCGGCCATCGCCCTAACGGATTCTCCTCCTCGTCGTCATCTTCGCCTCTTTCGTCTTCTCTGTCACCGTCTCTCTGCCTATCGCACAATCTGCAACCAAATTAAGGATTATTTCACTGTCATCTAACTTTACATTTGTGCAATGAACGATGCATTAATAATATAATATAATATAATATACGCTCAGTAATCTCGCAATTCTATTGATAATCGTTGTATGTATTAACATTTATTTTCATACATTTATTTGTGCACTCAATTTATTTATTACTCATATCCAGTTAATGATCGAGGGATTTTAAACGAAATTTGTTACAATTTCCAATTACTAATGTATACTTACCAATGCATTTGTAAACAATGATAAATCATTGGTTGTCCTATTCGTCATTACCACATCTTTAAATATTAAATTGTCTATTATTTTGTCGCGCTAAACTTATTGTATTTGATTAATAAGAAATAGCAACAGCTTAATTAGATCATACAAGATAATGGCAACTGCGTGGCTATCAATACGTTCTTACTCCTTATAGTGTGTATATATATATATATATATATATATATATATATATATATGGAATCAATGTATTAAAAACTTTTTACTTTAAATTATTTAAAAACTTTAATATAATGCAGTATATAATTTATTTAAATGTAATAAAATTAAGTGTAATTTAATGTACCAAATATATATATATATATATATATATAAATATATATATATATTATGGCAATAGTCTTAAAATATTATAATTACTATCATTGAAGAAAGATAGTACGGTTTGACGTTAGGAATAAAATTATTTTAGAATTAAAATTGGACGTCTGTCAGCAGCACAATAGATATAGGAGCACATGAAATGTTAGGCAAGTAAGAATTACTTTATCATCAAAAATTCCATTATTGTGAAGATGGATGACATTTTCAATTTCTCGAAAAAAAAAAAAAAAAAAAAAAAAATTTGAGATTTTAAAAATAATAAAAGACAAATATATATTATAGAATATACATTTGGTTCATACGAAATTTCAAGCATTTAAAGTAATGGGCCGAATTTTTTTGACGTAACTTTAAAAAATAATAAGAATAAAAATATATATTGAAAAATAGTCAAATTGGTGTTTTATAAAATTGTATCTCTTGATTTGCTAGTAATGGAAATAAAATTATCGTTAATGATAATTTTTTATGATTTATGATGATCAAATGATTTTCAATTTTTTTAAACAAAAAGAATTTTATACTTTAATGAACGACACACAGCATACAATTACAAACAATCCATATTATCGTTTAGATAACTATGAACCATTAATACCATAAACAATTAGAATTAAGTGTGGAAATAATAAATTATTATAATTCTTTTATTTTTATATAGTTCAATTGTTATATTTTGTAATTAAGCAAATAATCTACGTACATTGATAGGTATGAAAGTTATGATAATTATTTTTGAATATGTAAATAAGCAAAACATTGCTAATCACATTAATAAAACATTCGTTCACCAGAAACATTTTATGTATTTGTAAATTAGCTAACTGAATTCGTTAATTAGTTCGTTAATTAATTAGTTTTATTATAAAGAAAGAGAACAAACTTTATTACAGAAAATTTCAGAATATAATAAGTGATTAATCGACTATTATTTGTATAATTATATCATAAAAAAAGTTATTTTAAATGGATGTACATAAATATTAATCACTTTTTAATATTTTAGAATAGACTGAACTGAATAGAATAGAATAGAATAGAATAGAACTGAAAATCTTATAATATTTTTCATAAGTATTTTAAATTGATAGATTATTAAAATAATCGATAATAGAAAACATTGATAATGAAACCAATCATGTATCAAGTAATTCAAAATTATTTTAATTTGATTAATAAATTATATTATATTTTTGAGATTCAACAAAAAGTTTAATAAAATACTAAAATTTACTAATAATTTATATATAAGTTACGTGTATTTACAACCATCAGTGAATTGAAAATTATTTGTTGATTCAACAATTTTTATGTCAATAAAACATTCATGTTTATGGAATTTTTAATATACACTTATATATGTTTTTCGAAAATAAATTTAGATCTAATATCTTTGTATTTTCAGTAGAATAGATTTTCATATAGTCCGGCATAATTTTTTTTTTACAAATTTTTTTATATATTTTGTGATTATTTTTTTTTTTATTTTTATTTATTTTTTTTTTTTTTAATAATTTATAATCAGAGTCAATTTTACTGTTACATTAGATAATATTAATATAAATTATATTTCATTTCCATAATGGGTATTAATGTCAATTTTGGAAATAAATTTATAAAAGAATAATAAGAAGTTCCAGTTTTTTTCTTCAACGGTTAAGTGTCAAATAATCAATAGAACGTACTTCTCTATAAAAATGAAAATAATTGAATTTCATGTTATAAGAATTTGTAAAGTAAATGTAGATCAATAAATATTTCAATTATAAATCTTAAGAATATCAAGATAAAAATATAGTAGTATTTATATAATTGAACTTTATATTATCTCGAAATATTATTTACGTATGAACATCTGAGCAAATATAATTAAAAGGAAATATATTATATAGAAAAGATATTAAAAATATTGCAATTTACATGATTTTTATCATATAAATTGCACTTACGACAGTTTTAATTAACACTAATATTATGATACTTTGCCTGCACAGGAAAATTCGTTTTTGCCTTAAGGCTTCCGTACTTTACAATGCTTCGCATATATTTTGTAATACAAATCAGAATAATTTATGAATTAGATAAAGTAAAATCAATAATAAATATCAAAAATGAATAATAAACGCTGCCTTTCATTTTATAAAGTTTATAATTCGTGTGTTACATAACAGTAAAAAAGCAATCTCCTATAATTATTATTTTATAATAATCACCTTAATAATTACTAAAGATATTGTAAGATAGATTTTTTTTATTATATTATATTATATTTTACGGATGTAGGAAAATGAATAATAAATTATTGTAATAATTTTTAAATGAGTTTTTTTTCTTCTTTTAATCATTTTCCTATTTAAATTTCAAACGTAGCAGATTTAATATAATGTTCTCATTTTTATTTATTTGGATTAAAAAAAAAAAAAATATATATATATATATATATATTTATATAGATTAATTTTTAGTATAGATTGATTATAATAGAATATTGTAGATGTTAATTTGAGTTTTGCAGATATTATTGGAATATTTTTCAAGTCTAAAAAAAAACAAAAAAAACAAGTAGTATCTAAAAATATATCTGGAAAGTACGAATTTGTTATTCAAGGAAAAGTGAAATGCTTGATAATAAAAGTTATAGAAGTATTGAGCTTAAATAGATGCTAGATTAATTATATTGTAATTTGAGCTGTAGTAATTGAACTTTATTATGTTGGCGAATGTCAATAGTGCGACTGGTAGAGAAAGGGAGGAAGCGGTTTTTCATTTAATTATTGTCTTCTTTAAGTTTTTATAAAATAATTCCATAAAAGAAATAATTGTAAGTACAAAATCTATGTATCTACTTATTGTTTAAAATCACAATAAAATTACATTCCAACTATAATTTTCTTCTTTTCATACTTTGTAAAATTCAGCTTTTAATTATATAAAAATGTGTATAGAAGCATTTAAGTTTAATATTAAACAAAATGGTATCTTATACTTTAACATTATAATTATACCTTATGAAATGTTAATAACTGTTTGATTAAAATAAATATCAAATGGTAAGGAAGTTTATGAGAATAATCAATCATTTAATTATTTTAACAATCTACGCACTTAAAAATTAAATAACGATTTTTTTTCTAGTTTGAACTTCAACATAAAGATATTTACGTTGGAGCTTTTAACAACAAAATATTGTCTATCTTGCATTTCTATGCAAACCTGATAAAAAAAAAATCACGTATTGTTTATATAATTGTTTACAAAATTGGGTGAATTTAAGTAGCAATGCTTAGAAATGTCTATAATATATAAATATGCGTTGTAAAAAAATTTTTGTAAATTACGAAAATCTTAATCTATCCTAATTAATGTATACCATACAATAAGTCATTCGGTAAACTTTTTGATATTATAATTACTTTTAACAGTTATGATAATAATTAATTAGGATAATACTGTTAAATTATCTCTACATTACCTAAATGTAAAATAATATTATTATATTTATTTATTTTAAAACGATGTTCATTATTTACATGAAAAAGATTTGATAATATTGTTTGATGCAATTACATGTATTAGTATGAGATGTCGATCCAAGGTTATATATTATGTGTTATCAAAAAACACTGATTAGAAGAAAAAAAAATAATAATTTTTGCGCGCGCGCGCGCGTATGCATGTAATTGATAGTTTTTCAGTTCATAAAAGAAAGCTTGGATGAATAATGGAGATGCAATTGGATTTTGAGATATTTTGAAGGCACTTTGCATTTTGTAATCTATTAAAGTATCGGATTTTAAGAGAATTATTGGATAATTTTTCAAATTCGATAAATCAATCATTTTTAAGCGGTTTTCTTACTTTACAGCAATCTTAAGAAGTTGGAAAATGTTTTATTTACATGTATTCAAAATCGTTAATAACAAGAGTCGATAATAACGAAAATACAAACAATCTTTCGCGTCCGGTAATTAAAACTTAATATTAATCGGACCAATGCTCTTTCAACTCATTAACATATATGGAATAAAATTAATAATAAAAAATTATCTCGAATGCATGCGCAGCCTTTAAGTCTGTATGACCAAATATTCACAGACGCTTATATTTACTAATAATTATACTAGAAACTCTTCGGCGAATTATCATTAGGATTATTAATGATAGAATATGACGACCGCATTTATTCTGGAATAATCTCTTTTCACACGACTTTCATTATTATCGCATAACAAATGGACGTAACAATTTGATAAGCGTTCGATAGGAAAGCGAAGTAGGTAGAATTTGACTTTAAGATGATAATCATTTGATCACACATCAGCTATAATAAATTTAGCTTATTAATAGAAAGAAAAGAATGTCGATT